ATCGAGTTACCAGTTTCGAATGTCCGCAGTAGTCGTGTGTGAGTGGATCTAGAGTTTCGCGCTCGGATTTCGTAAAAAACGTGATTTCGAAACGCGCAATAGAAAACTCAATAGATAGACAATTTTGTGGGACGATCATCTTCGATCTTTCCGATCTTATTCTTTATCTTTTCTATTTTCAGATCGATGATGTATATAGATATATATTTATATATACGGTTCACTTCGTACGGCAAACTATACTAATGTTAAATAAGAGAGTGGAAAAAAAAAAAAAAAAAGGATGGACCGGGAAGACGGAGCAAAAGGAAGAAACCGAGGTAAGAGATTTCGTCGAGGCGTAGTAGAGGGGCACTGAAAATTGGAAACTGGTGGGGGTGATGGAGACCAGCCGCATAATGACAGGGTGCCTCACGCCAAGGCCCCGCTAACGAACCGGCCCACGAGACCCAAAAGGGTCCAGGCTAGGAGACGACACTGTATTATTTTACCATTTCGGGGGTCGGGGGCATCATCAGAAATCATCGCCGAATCCATATAATCAGTAGACGGTTACGTGCAGCTATGATTTTTAAAGCAGAAGGAAGGGGACCGAGAGGGGTAAAAAGGACTAAGGAAGGGAGGATGAGACCTAATAAGGCGAACGGTGGTAGGTACTTTCGATATCTTCGTCCTCGTCCCCATCCTCGCCCTCGTCCTCATCCTCGTCGTCGTCGTCATCGTCATCATCGTCGTCGTCGTCGTCATACTCATCCTCAATCTCATCTTCGTCATCGTCATCGTCCATCTCTCAAAGATCTTTCGAACTTCTGAGTTCTTGATACCAACTTATAGTAGTACTCGTTGCGGCCACTAATGACACAGACCCGATAAAAAGTAAATCCCTTCTACCTTTCTACCCCTTTCCCCTTCCTCTCCTTCATCTCTTGCTGTTCCTCCTCCGCTATCTTGACGCGTTACACGAAAGGTAGGGCTTAAAACGTTCCAACGAGCTCGCAAATGCTCGAACCAAACGATCCTGAAGCGCGATCAGAAACGAACGTACGAAATTACGTCGCAACAAAAAAAAAATAAATAAATAAATAAATAAATAAATGTACGTATACACTTAGTTACATTACGTGGAAACGTAAGAAGAATCAGAGTGTCGAAAAGAACTCGTCAAATACTCTGCTATTCGATTATTCTTCCCTCATGTTCCACAGATTTATTTATTTTAAAGATTTAGAAGGAATAGAATAATCCGCTAATTTTGATTAAATATTAGGTGACAAACGAAAAAAAAAAAAACGTTCGTTTTAGTTAATAATCTTGGACATGGAAATAAAATTAATATTTATTATATGAAATATTAGTTATAGAAATATTATCGCAGTTAGGGAAAACTCTCACGAGAAGATCAAGATTAAGGCAAGATAAAAAGCAATATACGATCACACGGTGAAAGTTGATCGATAAAGATCTAAATGAATGTTGTTGGTTGTTGGATATGAAATGCCTCTTGTGCGTACCGAGTCCATTTTGCGTAGGAACGACCGGTTTGTTACAAAAATCGAATAAAACATTCACGTGTCGATCGATAACTTGAATCTTTGAAAAAAATATATCGAATAAAATTTACACGTTAGTTTCCTTGACCTGTTTCACGTACGGCAAGTGGAGAAAAATGATAAAAAATGGTAAATGACTCGGTAAATTTATTCAAGTAAAATTCCAAATATCTTTCCCTAATATCTATCGTCCTTGAAAAAAAGATAACAAATCATTTGAAAAACCGTAGAAATACGATTTACAAAATAAAAATATATCGAAATATATTTTATATCGAAATATAACGCGACATTATGTTATCTCGAGAAACTTTCTCTAAATCGATGAATTAGTTTTAAAATTTCTTGGATCGTATCCGCGAATCGATCGTAAAATAACACAATTTTTACACTTCTCTTCATTTTCATATCGTCTTCTTCCTCGTTTATCTTCGATACACAAACAAGATGGCTATAGCTCTCAAATTGTAATACCTT